AGATGTGTATGTATGTATGCATGCATGCATGCATGCATGCATGTATGTATGCATGAATGAATATAGGTATATTTGATTGTTAGATCGGTAGATCGACAGACAGATAGGTAAATAGAAAGATAAGTAAATAAGTAGATAAATCGGAAGATCCACAGATAGATGTGTATTATATGTGTATACATAAACAAATAAGTGTGTATATATATATACACATACATACACGTTGAATACTGGCCCGTCCTGCATGTGTATATGTGTTATCCTTTCTAATTGGGGGTGCGTCGTTGAGGCCCGGCAGTATGGGTACTCGATCCCCACAAAATACCCTAGAACCACAAACTTAAACCCTGACTTAACAAAGACCCTAAACCCTTAACCCTAAACCCTAAACCGTTAAGAATCCTGAAAACTACCCCACTGCACCAGAAAACAATCTAAAACTTACACTCCCAACAAAGCATCCTAAACCTTATAGTAGCCCTTGCAGGACCCCCGCCAACAAAACAAAAACAATTTAAAGGTGCCATATATTCATTAAAGGATACTCTACGGTTCTATAATAGGGTCCCCTTGACGGGTACTATAGGGGTATTTTTTGGGTGAAGGGTTTAGGGATACCAAAACCTAAGGGTCTAAGTACCCCAATAGTAGGGTTTCAATGATTCAAGGTCCAAAAGCCACTCAGGGTATGGGCTTTGGAAGCTAAAACCCTACCAAAATATAGAAGCCTTAATAATTACAATAGGGATTTGGGGCCCATCAAAAACTACAGCAAAAAAAAAGAACCCCCAAAACAGTGTAGGTAATTATCTAGGCCCCTATCCCCAAACCCTAAACCTTAAACCCTAAACCCTAAACCCTAAACCCTAAACCGTAAACCCTAAACCCTAAACCCTAAACCCCAAACCCTAAACCCCATATTATTTGGGCACCTGGACCCTCCGAGCTCCCTGCGCCAGCTCTTGGGCCCTCACGCGCTGTTTCTCGGCGACCTGGCTGCCAAAGCCCGCCGACGGTACTCTCTGAAGGGGCTGTTTAGGGTTTAGGGTTTAGGGTTTAGGGGGTTTAGGGTTTAGGGCGTAGGGTTTGGGGTAGATGTCATAAGAGCTTTTTGAGGGTGTAAGATATGAGGTCTTGCTAAGAATCCTACAAAAGCCTTTGCTTGGAGTTTTGTGCGAATTTATGACGGCTTCGTGGAGTTTTGTCGGGTGTTGAACAAGCCTTTAAAGGACCGTACCAGCTGGCGTCGAAATCAAGCAGGGTTGCCCTCCATGCTATGTTTTTTCGATCATCCCACATATGAGTGTAGCCCCCTAAGTCCAACAAAGGGCTTGTTTTACAATTCAAATTCTTGGACTTCTGGGCTTTCCGGGCGGTCTTTCATAATCATATTCCGGAGATGTTTGGGTTTTAGGGCTACTTAAGAGAGTCTCTGTCTCTTGAGGGTTCCGGGTAGCTGCAAGCAGGATTACAATCATCAAGTTGATGGGCACGCAAACGAAAACCAAAGATACCTTTCACCTACCCCCGGCTGCATGTACCTATGAACCCTAAACCCTAAACCCCTAGAACCTTCATGTATGGTCTGGGGTTTGGACCAGGTCCGAAATAAGACAAAGCAATAGAAGCTTAGCACCATGAAGGTCAGAACAGTTTGCAATAGTATCACTTTGTCGTCCCTATATCATAATTTACAAGTTTACTATGATTACTACACCTTAAACATCAAAATCAACTCTGGGCCCTAAAGCCCTAAACCCTATAACCCTCGACCCTAAGCCCTAACCATACATCTACTTCCCAGACCCCCGGAAGCATCTAGAAAGTAGAACCCCTAATTTGGGACCCGATACTACTAAGGGCTCTTTACAGGAACCCCCATTAAGGGATCTACCTTTTGGATCCTTTCGGGGGTCTGGGAAAGAGCCCTGGAAGCATCCTTCATCGCCTAAACCCTAAACCCTAAACCCTAAACCCTATAACCCTAACCATACATCTACTTATCGAACCTAGAGCATCTTGCCTCTTGACTGATACACATGATCCCCCCCTCCCTCCTACGGGTCCCAAGTGCCTGCAAGCCGTGGAATGTTGTACCTAGAGGCCTGTTAGGGTTGAGGACTTAGGCTTTAAGGTTTAGGGTTTACGCTGCATGGTAAGCAGACGGTCCACGAAAGCTGGTAAACAAAAGGAATCGCTCAGGGATTGAAGGCTCTGCCTGGCTTCAGAAGACTGGGGTTCGAGTTTATTGAGTTCCAGTTGCTGGGGTCCTAGACTTTGTGCTTGTATGTGGGCAGTTCGCTGAATTATGGTCCCTTCTGATTTTAGGGTCCTTTTCATAAGGGTGCCGCATTCTATATTTGGGACTTTATAAGGGGCCCTGATTTAGAGAACTACCCATGTATAATTCAGGGCGTGGAGCCTGACGGAGGCCTTAGGGCTTTTCGGATGCGTTGCATTCAAGGTATATAAGCCTGTGAGTGTGGCCCTTATTCTCCCCATGCGCACCACCCTTGTGAGCATTATCAAGATCTCTAGTACTATAGGGTCTGTCTATATATATACAGATATAGATATTAATATAGATATAGATAAAGATAAACCCTAAACCACGAACCCTATAGTGGACCCCCCAACTACAGATATAGATGTTATAGGTCCCTCAAATAACGTACTCGATTGCAGCAGCCCCAAACCAGAGGTACAGGCACCTGGAGCCCGCCTTGCCATCGCACGGCGGCCTCCCGGGATTAGTGCCAAGAATCATTAAAGGAAACTACAGGTGGGGAGTGTAGGGTATATAGGGGTTTAATTAGGGTTTAGGGTTTAGGGGTTTAGGGGTTAGGGTTTAGGGGTTTAAGGTTTAGGGTACTACAGGTGGGAAGTGTAGGTTCTATAAGGCTTCCATAAGGTATATAGACCTTCTATAAGGTCTATAACGGTAACTACCCACCTGAAAATGGCCTAGAATTCATGTCCGTGTGAATCGGACTTATTCAGGAAAGCTACTTTAAGGACCTTAATAATATACTTAGTTACAGTTACAATAATAGCAGGGTTCCTTTGCAAGGAATCGCAATACTGATTATTCAAACTTTTCTATTGCTGCAAGTATAACATGTACCAATCGCCAATTGCGGTAACTTCAACTTCGTTCTGCAACCAGAATGCGGGTTTGACTTGCAGCAACACCAGAGTCGTTTCCTAAAGTCACTCGGGCTGTTTCACACTTGCCGATGCCAACACGACAATTATTGCGCGCAACCCTCCAAGCGAGCAAAACAGATATTGAGACAACAGCACTCACAGTGCTGTACCATCCAAGTGATAGCATATCAGATGGCAGGAGCCGTATCTAAACGCTGGCACGACTGGGGCGTCGCAATTCATGTGTTTGGGACTTCAGACACTGTACACCGGCCGCCAGCCCTAAAACGTCAACTCTAAACCCTAAGGCCTAAACTCTAAAGCCCAAGCCCTAAACCCAGCCCTCTTACATGACAGCTCAAAGAAACTTAATATGGGGGCCTAAATAAACAACAATATTATCTTGGGAGTTCCTTATTATAAAAATGGTACAACGGGCCCCAGAACCCTATTCTTTAAATTTTGTTCTTCACTGATTGCCGGGCGAAGTCCCCGAACGAAAGCCTTAAACATCCGAATCCGAGACATTTCCAACCCCTAAACCCTAAACCCGAAAACCCTCAACTCCTGCAGCCTTCAACTCCTAAACATTCCTAAACCCTAAACCATCTCGTATATAAGACTGAAGCCCAACCGTTTTGAGGGTTTGGGGTTTAGGCTAGGGGTTTAGGAATGTTTAGGAGTGTAGGGGTTTAGGGGTTTAGGGTTTGGGGGTTTAGGGTTTAGGGTTACGGCTTTAGGGTTTAGAGTGGGGTTCGGGGGTTTAGGGTGTAGGGTAGCCGGAAAGTCCTACGTCCTTTCGGTTAGAGAGACTCACGAAAACTAAGGGTCCATGTACCCAAATAGTATATACTTTGGCCCCGAAGTACCCATATAGGGACTACTTGAAGGCCAAAGTATATACCATTTGGGTGATGTAGGGGCCTTCATCATTAGAATAGGGTGGTGGGGCCCCTTATAAATATATTAAGGAAGCTGCAAAATATCCCTAAACTCTAAACCCTACACCCTAAACCCTACACCCTAAACCCTAAACCCTAAACCCCAAACCGTGTTAGGCGCCTCCATTACATGGACCCTCAGGGAAACCTGGGAAGACTCCCATTTCTCGATGCCTGCGCCAAGCCCCTGGCCGCCAAGGTCCCCGTCAGCCTGGGAGTTTAGGGCCTTAGGATTTAGGGTTTAGGGTTTAGGATTTAGGGTTTAGGGTTTAGGGTTTAGGATTTAGGGTTTAGGTTTGGGGTTTAGGATTTAGGGTTTGGGGTTTGGGGTTTAGGGTTTGGGGTTTAGGGTTTGGGGTTTGGGGTTTAGGGCTGAGGGCAGAGGGGCCATACTCCTAAACCCTAACCCAGAGAGTCCAAGTACCCACATAGTAGGGCGTTAGGTTCCAAAGCCCATGCCACCGAGTGGTTTTCACTTAAACCCTAAACCGTAAAACCCCAAACCCCAAACAAAACCCTAAACCCCGCACCTTGAAACCCTACTGTTTGGGCACTTAGACCCTTAGGGTACACCAGTTGGGTTTACGTTTGGCGGCTCGAGTCTCCAGGCTTCGGGGTACAGGCTGAAGGTTTACCTGGCAGAGTTTGAGGGTAGAGCAACGTTGGGCCCGGCTCCATGTTGTGCTTTATGATGGATGCTCACCTAGGGTCATGGAAGCTACCTCGACCCTGAACAATGCAGTACTTTGGGTTTTGTTTGGTTGCCGTAGTTTCTGCTTTTCGGTTCCTGACCATAATCAAGTTAGCCAAAAAGGCATGACATCCTAAGGCCAAGAATCCTAAGCTCTAGCCCTAAGCCCCTAAACCCTAAACCCTAAACCCTACACTCTAAACCGAAAGCTCTAGGTAGAGTCAAAGTAAAATTCAGGATCAGTCTGCGGCTTGCCTGCTGGCGGCTTGAAAGGGCTCAGCAGAACCCGCATGTTGGGTTTAGGGTTTAGGGTTTAGGGGCCTAGGGCTTAGGGTTTAGGGCTCTAGGGTTTTAGGGTTTAGGGTTCAGGGGTTTTTAGGGTTTAGGGTTTAGGGCTAGTACCTGGTCCTGGTACATAGCATAAAGTCAATGTAAATCGGACCTGCTCCGGCAAGTCAGCTCGAAACAGGCCTGCTAAGTAAGCCCTACTGGCCCTAGATTTTACACCAAATACCCTCAGCCATCACTTTCAACCTCCGAAATCTGCGAAACACACTCACAACCGAAACTCGGGAAACCTGAAACCTTCAAGAAACTGAACTTGAAACCCCGATAAACCCAAAACCTCTTAACTCCCAAAACCCCTAAAACTCCTAAACCCCTGAAATCCTACAGCCCCAAAACGCTGGGTGATTCGGCTGCTTGAGGTCCAACTGCTTCGAGGCAGGGCCACGGGAGGCGCCCAAGGCGCCCACACGCAGGACCTCGGACTTTCCCGGAATCCCTAAGGGGCCAAAAGACCTAAAAAGACCTAACAATTAGGGTACCTAGTTGTAGGATGGTTCGTTTGTAGGTTGGCAGTTGAGAGAGGTATACCCTGAACCCCACTCCCTTGAGGTACTGGAATCCTCAGACGTTTGGCCGAAATACCTATAGCAACAACTCCTCCCCACACGAACAGACGTAGGAATAACGGTTGCGGGTTCTAGTCCAAAATCTTCAGCAACCGACATGCGCTTTTACTTACAGATCCCGAACCCTGAGGGTCCATGTACCTAAATAGTATAGACTTTGGCCTTAATGAAGTTCCTATTTGGGTACGGGGAAGTGCCTGGCAGGCGAAGCAGCTGGGGTGTCGGCAATGTATATTGCATTCCAGTACACCACCTCGAATAAGCCTGCTCAGCGACGCGGCAGATCCCACCGGGGCGGAATCTAGTAGGGCTTTCCCCTAAACCCTAAACCCTATAAGCCCTAAACCGTTGTTGAAGAAGGCTTTATCGTTCACTGTCGGGCTCGTAGGACTTCAAAGGGCTTCCAAAATTTGATCTGACCAGTTTACGTTCCTTTGCTCTCAGAACTGCCCCACCCTAAACCCCTAAACCCTAAACCCTAAACCCTAAACGGCTTAAGTCTTTCGGCGTTCAGGTTGAGTATTTCGATTCTCGGTGGATCCAACAGCCCCAGCTCGCACCATGTGAGCACCCAAACCCTACGCAACTCGCTCGCCCCCCTTACAGCTCATCTCTATAACCCAGCGATTCGAACTCCTGAGCCCCAGTTACGGACAGCTCGAAACCTAAATCCTAAACCCTAAACCCTAAATCTTTTAAACCCTAAACCCCAAACCCTAAACCTTAAACCCTAAACCCTAAACCCTGAACCCTAAACCTTAAACCCTAAACCCTAAAACGCTAAACCATGGGCGCTTTCGGCCGCAGTCCCTAAATCAGAACCTGGCTCGCACTTCAATGGCCCCCAGAATTCTGACAAAAGGGTTAAGGGTTTAGGGCTTAGGGCTTTGGGGTTTAGGGTTTAGGGTTTAGGGGTACCTGCATAGGCCGCCCTAAACCTGTACTGTATAGGCCAAAAGGGCAGCTATTTCAACCCAAGACACAAACCATAACAAAGCCATACTTCTGGGAGGATCCGAAAAGTAGATCCCTTAATGGGGCTCCTATAAAGTACCTTGTAGTCGTATAGTCCTAAATTCGGGGTCCCACTTTCCAGATCCTCCCAGAATGCTGGGAAGCCGTACCCTGATCTACCACAATCCACTGCAAGTTGAATATTAGAGTTTACAGTAGGGTTCTACCAAAAACAAGTGTCTTTGGCTAATGTAGGTCTTCATTAAAGTTTAGAAGCCGGAGTCTTACACTTCACAGGCGTTCCTTCAAGGGTTCCTGAGAGTGCTTTATGGAGTTCTATATGGCTTCTTTACAGGGTTCCTACAGGGAGATATATGGCTTCTTGACAGGGTTCCTACAGGGAGGCTTAGGAGTCAAGGATTGGGGAGTTCGCGCGACCCGGGCCTTGTGCTCCTGATGCGAAGCCACCGGAACAAAAGCTTCTCTGCCTCAGTCTGCAAGCATTAATGCACAATGCAAAACCATTTGAACTCATATTCATGCAATTCGACCAGCATCGGAAAACTCGTTTTAGTTGCAGCAAAAGCTAAAAGCTTGCAAAACAGCAACGTCAGAAGATGTGTAACCAAGCTTACTCGAAAAATGAAGATGGACACACTGGTGTTCGAACCCATCGAATAACAATATTAGAAAGTCTGAACAAAATATATCCGGATCCTTACATAGTAACACCTGTATGAAAGCAGAGGGTCTTGTTCATCAGAGATGGAACTAAGGGTATTGAACTTACATAACGGCGAGCAGGGTTTGGGGTTCAATTTAAGTGAACAGTTAACGGATACGTGGACCCCAAAAGCCTGTAGATAATAGGCTCTTAGTAGGTATTGGACCATGTTTTTACTCACTTTTCGGTGGTTTAGGGTCTAGCCGGGTTAGAGGCTTCCCTAAACCCGGAACCCTGAACCCTAATCCCTAAACCCTGAACCCTAATCCCTGAACCCTAAACCCTATAGGTGGTTCAGGGTTGACATAGGCTCAAAGCTTGGAGCTTCGGGCTTCAGTGGTTGACGGTGGGGTTGTATCTTAAGCGCCCTTAGAGCCAGGGTTTGGGGTTCAGGGTTTAGGGTTTAGGGCTCAGGGTTTAGGGTTCAGGGGTCAGGGCTTATAGGGTTTAGGGTTTAGTAACAATCCGTTGGAGTTTTGCAAAACAGAAACTGAATAAACTCTAGGTCATTCAGTAACTCCTCTTTTGCAAGTTTGGCTAATGTCTTCCACTCGTAGATGTCCTCGTCAATGCTCGCGGTAATCAGAGTCTTCCTGGGGTAAGCCCAGAACGATCCGAGCTATAACTATATGTAACCCTGAACCCTCTAAAACCCTCCTAAAGAGCCACCACAGAACACACGGTTGCAAGAACTGCGGGTCATTTGGCTGGCCCAAGTCAGGGACAGCAGTGCAGCCCCCTTTGCGGCCCCACATCGGTCGGGCCTCGGATTTGAACGGTTTAGCGTGTACGTGTTAGGGTTTAGGGTTTAGGGTTTAGTTGGGTAGTTCTCTAAACTAGGGTCCCTTTTTAGGTCCCCACTGTAGTACGGCACCCTCATCACCATGGCCCTGAAAGGGACCCTAATTTTAGAGAAATACCCAGTGACGGGGTTTGGGGTTTGGGGTTCAGGGATTGGGGGCTTCGGGTCTCTGCCGTTTGAGAGATTAGGGTCCAGAAACTCAGGGTATCGTTCAGGAATGAAGGGTTGTGTAAAGGTGATTCATTCTACAAGGGTCTTAGGGCTTTACCGCCGATTGTTTTTCCATAAATTGGGGCACCTTATTGTTTGGCCACTAGAAGACGGATCTTGTCATTAAGGGATCTAAAAGCGCTCTATACTACCGTCCCATAGTCTCTGAAACCCTAAACCCTAAACTCCTAATTCCCCGATGTGAACATGACCTCTTTCTCGTAGGCCTCAAACACCTTTGATTGCGTAGGGGTTCTAAGAGGTGCAAATATGATGGATGCAGGTTTGGGGTTGTAGGGCGGTTATCGAGTTGACGCCGTTGGGTTTAGGATACTGTTGATAGACAACATGCTGCATGACCCAAATATAGTATAGCACCATAAATCCCATAGTTTAGGTATATAGGGTCATGCAGGATTCTGTCCATCAACCGTATGAAGCCTTCGCTGATAGGTTTAGCTCTTACTTGGATTCAGGGCTTCGGGTCGGGGGGCTGGCACCTCAGGATTGGTCGGGTATGGTCGGGCTTTAGCCCTAAACCCTAAGCCCTAAACCCTAAACCCGAAGCCCTAACACCTAAAACTTAGCCTAAAACCCTACGCCCGCTTTGAAGCGTAGGGGCTTCGGGGATCCAGGCTTAAGCTTACATGTAAATACTGGAGGCTATTTGTTTAGGGTTTAAGGGTGAAGGCTGAATACTTGGATTTGAAGGTTGGTGTTCATGGGGTTTCGGGTTTAGGGTTGGGCTTTGGGGACTCAGTTTGAGGTATTGAGTTGGTTACTGCTTAGGGCTCATGGGCTCATTGTCTTCGATTTAGGGCTTAGGGTAGGCACAGTTTGGGTTAGGGTTTGAGAGTAGGGCTGGCGAGAAAACTTCAAGCTCTAGACGCTAAATCCTTCACCAAAGCACTCGTCGACAAAGGCATCCAGCTTGCCGACGCGAGCCTGATCAAACAGAGCAGTCTTCTGGTGTGAGAGCGCGTATCCCTCCAAACGGGGCCAAGTGCCCAAAAAAGCCTAAACCCCAAACCATGGCTAAACCCTAAACCGACCCCAAACCCTTAGAAGCCTAAACCCTAGACCGACCCTAAAAGCCTAAATCCTAAACCAACCCTAAACCCTAAACCAACTCTAAACAGTGCTAAGTTCCCCAAACCGATCAGAGTATGGTGCCTGGGAGCCCAAAGCTCTACTAGACTTGGATCGTCCAGGCAAAAGTGGGTCGGGTCTCGGGTCTCGTTGAAGAGTAGAGTTCGTTAGGTTCCCTTGAGGGTCCATGTACACAAATAGTATATACATTGGCCCAAAGTGCGCTTAGGGCATTGTCGAATCGTATTCCTGTGGCACCTTGGTGGACTAGTTCCTTTCTCCTGTCTTCCATTTGACAAAAGCGCGCGTCACGCCATTCTCAAGTAGTAAGTGTGACTGAAGTGGCGGAGAATGGTCGAACTGGAAGCCTCAACCTTACCCGTGTTGATCTTTAAGACCTGCCTGATTGGATCTGTCATCTGGGGACCCGAATCCCCGCACCCTAACCCAAAACCCGTAACCCAAAACCCTCAATCCCAAACCCTAGCCCTAAACCCTAAACCCTTGTGATATTTTAGATTTTCTGCTTCCATGTAGCAGTTAGCTCGACTGCTGATGTGCGACAGCTTGTCAAGTTAAAGGCGCAGGATGGGGGCTCCTATCAGAGGAGTTCTATGTTTTTTTTTCTGTTTAGGCTTCAAGGTTTCGGGTTCGGGAAGTTGAAGTTTAGGGGTGTTAGGTTTGTGAGTTATTGTTTTAATCTCTAAGATCAGAGTAAACTAAAAAGTCAGCAACAACCGGAACCCCAAAATCCTTGACCAGAAGCCGGCATGCAAGCCGGATATGAGCATGATCATTCAGCCTTCCTAAACTTTGACCCCCCCCCCCCCCAAAAGCCCAATAGCCTGAGCTTAAACCCCTAACCGCGCTAACTCTAAGTTGCGCGCCCGGCAGGCATTGGCGTTCAGAACCAGGTGTGTGACACCGTACGGCGACAGAACCTGCGCCAGTCGGATTGCATGCAGCCCCATAGCCAACAAAATATCAGGTTACAACCCCATGGTTATGGTGTATAAAGCTGACGTCGTAGTTTTTACTGTATAACAAACGAACTGCACATGCGAAGGTTATAGCCCGAAATTTCAGGGTGTAAGCCCCCCATCTAGTAGGGTTCAGCTGCAATCCACCCAAGCACAGGTTTCAACCACATGATATAGGGGCATAAATAATTCGAACAGGGCTTGGGGGTACATTATACTATGTTTATAATGGGGAACCCCCAAAACCCTGTTCTAATAATCCAGGCCCCTATATTAAACATGCCCCTAAGGGTCCATGTGCCCAAAAAGTAGATACTTTGGCCTTAAAGTAGTCCCTGTATGGATACTTTGGAGCCAAAGTATATACTATTTGGGTACATGGCCATTTAGGGTACGGTATACCATCGCCGGAAAAAAACGCAAGCGTGCGGGTTCTGAGGACATCTCGAAGATCGACTAAACCCTAAACCCCAGCATTCATGATTCAACTTCTGCAGCGCTTGAGACCTTGAGGGCTCTCACATCGCCCGACTTAAGGTTTAGGGTTTAGGGCTTCGGGTTTGGAGGTTTTGTATGTGAAAGCAGAACACCGAAGCGAAACACCATGCATGCGGGTTCGGCTAACCCAAAACCAAGGCTTTCTTGAGAACAACGCGAACCTTTAACCCCAAAGAGCTCTACTTCAACATGCCAAAGCCCCGGTGAGAAAGCCCAGTGTTGCTTCCCACTTGTTTAAACAAACCCTAAACCCTAAACCCTAAACCCTACACGAAATCACCAAATCGAAACCCTAAAAACCCGAAACCCCTCGGGCCCATTTGCAGCCCCACATCTTTTTGTAACAAAGGGGCCTTAATAATTAGA